ATGGCAATGAGACGATATACGATAGAATGAATGTAAAACTAATGTTCTCCATGTAAACTATCACATAATTCACAAAACTTTTAAGAAGAAAGAAAAAAAAAAAATGTTGTCATATACATGCTGCTTTGCAAATTAGCACCAGCCTACAAATCAAATGACCTGAGCTACTGCCCCATTTCTGTAAGAATATGAGCAAATCAGCTTTATCTTTCGGAGTTTCAATTTCCTAATCTTTAAAGCAAAGGACCAGTTTAATCTTAATTACATTTATCTCTTAAGGCCATTTCTCCCTTTGTAAACTTAAAACACAGCTGATTACTGAAATTATAAAGTCACTATGATCAATATAGAACACATAAGTGAATGAACTATCTATTGTTGTTGAGTGCTGTAGTCCTGGTTCTGACTCATAGTGACCCTGTACAGGGTTTCAAGAAGGGCTGGTGAGTTTGAACCAATGACATTGTGGTTAGCAGTCCAGTGCTAATCCTACAGCACTACACCTTGACGGACTTGAGTGTATGATCTGGAGAAGGAAATGTGTATATTACATGTTAGCTAAATAAATGAACACAGGAGTCTGTTTCAAAAGGCACTTAATAGTTCACAACTACTTTACAGGTGATAATTACAAATACATGAAAATTAGTTACTTTCTGGGTTTGAAAATTGTGATTCATTTTTAAAAAAGAAAGTATTGACTTACTCTACGTTTTGTAATGCTTCCACCAACTGTGTCTTCTGATCAGGTGCCATACGTGCAAACACGGTGCCATGCAACATCAGCTAGAAAAAAAGATTAATTTTTCAAAAATACACTCACAATATGCTCACATGAACTCATACATAAACCCAAATCACTGACCTTAGGAACGAGGTCTTGAAAATGCTCCAGTATCACTGAAAACGATTTTCCATTCATTGCAAAATGGTAACGAACCACCTGAAGATCCTCTAGGCTGTCATGGGCCAATTTAATTGGAATAGCCTATGGATAATTGAGAAAAAGATTCAGGTAGCCAGACCAAAATACATATCCTATTTTAAATTATATTATCCCAAACGGATTTCTCCCTTTAATATTTTTACATGAACTATTGAAAATTTAAAATATAAAGTAAAAAGGAAATTCAATTTTATGAAGAAAAAATCAAACCAACTAACCTTAAGGCTAAAGCTTCAATTTAATGTGATGAACTGAATATTATGGATCCCTGGCATAATTTGTCACTAAATACTATAAAAATAGGATGTGAAAACAGAATTTAGGATTCTTAGAACTGTGGTTCTCAATTCTAAGTACCAACACTTAAAAATTGAAATTCCTCTACCTTGGTCCTACAATCCCTAAAAGATGACCCAGGCTTGTCCTTCATTTACTTCTAAAATTTTTTGTTATGAAAGCACCATTTAAAAAAATAGATCTACTTTTTTTTTTTCCCAGTATAAATTAAAATGAACAAGTTTCCAACAAAAAAATTCATCTTGTCATTACCTCTGAGTCAATTGCTGATGAATTACTGCACTGGGTTAGGGTGTCTGCATAATGCCAGTTTATCTTGGCAACTTTTCCATCCTTTGGAGGTAATGCTTCAGCAATAATAACTTTATCCTGAGGTAGAATCATCCCACAGTCTCTGGCCACAGAGACAGCAGTCAACATGTTGTCACCTAATTTTCAGAATATTTGAAATCCGTTAAAATTAAAATGGAAATGCAAATGTAATAGTGGAATGCAACAAGCACTTCTTAACTCTACTACAATACCCACTACAGGGCTATGCAGAATGAGGACAAATAAGATTCTTACTCTGAGTTTAAATGTAAATTATTGGAGGAAGCCTCCAAATACAGATTCAATACAATTGAATACAATTCTCAATCTTCTATCATCATACTGCTGCTCAACAATTATCTGCTAAATTAACGCAGGAGTGACTGATGTTGCATGCAGGAAATACAAGGGCAGTATGACAAAATGAATTACAAAAGCAAGAGTACATAAAACAAATAGGTCATCAAGGCAGTCAGAAGAGAAGTACACAGAAGCAAGAGAGACAACTAATCAGTCAGGAGAAGGATAAGGCTCTGTTTGGGGATCCCACTGCTACAATACTGAAGTGGTCAATACTTCTTTTCCAAAGGCATCCTTTTATGACCTGACAGACCTCCTTCAGAAACATAGCCCCATGGCAGTGAAAAAGAAGGAAGAAATACCGGATGTAAAGTGGGAGAACAGATACAGATGGAGAGAATGAAGAAATGTTGGTAAACAGATTTAGTTACCTTGAGCTATAAAGTATGCTATTTATTATCTCATACTAAATTTTTAAGAAATGAACATAGGCCTTTTTCATATATTTGTACAGAAAAAACTCCTTAATGCCTTAATGCCAGAAACTTAAGGGAAGAAACCTATTGGAGATAAAAAATTCAAACATTTCCTACTAAAATGAGCAATAGAAAAATGGTAAGACTAAACCCTATCAAAGGAAGAAACTTTTAAGACCCAGAAAAACAAGGCTGTCTCATCAAGTTCTGGTTCTCACAGGTTTCAGTATAAATCTTATTGAACCCATAAATGCCATAAAGTGAGCAACTTAAACAGGATTAATTGCAAAGACAAACTACTGCTGTCAAAATTTTCACACAACTAAGGAATAGGAATTAGTATCATCAATACAATAGCGAAAGAACCATTTAGTATAATCAACAGACCACCGCTTTCAGCAATTTGTCGTATTCTGGTTGCTTTTATGTATGGTGATGCTGGAAACTATACTAATTGGTATTTCAAATACCAGCAAGGTCACATGCGGTTGACAGGCATTGGCAAAGCTTACAGAGTAAGACAGACCATGAAGAAGGGCCTGGTAATCTATTTCTAAAAATGCGGGGTCACTAAAAACCTCATTAATAGCAGTGAAACACTGTCTGATACAACGCCAGAAGATGAGTCCTTCAGGCTGGAAGGCACTCAAATTATGACTGGAGAAGAGTTGCTTTCTCAATATAATTAATCTAAATGACATAGAAGGAGCAAAGCTTTCAGAACCTTCATTTACTGACATGGCATGAGTATGTACAGCAGAAGCTGAAAGCGTCTATTAATATTCACAGTGTTGAATGTACAGAAGTATGAATCTAGGAAAACTGACAGTCATCAAAAAATTAAAGATCAATATCCTAGGCATTAGTGAGATGAAATGGACTGGTATGCTATGCCGGAAGAGGAACAGCATTGCATGCATCATCAAAAAGAATACTTCAAGAGCTATCCCGAGGTAAAACACTGTCAGTGATAAGATAATAACCATATGCTTATCAGGGAAACCAATTAATGTGCTTAATATTAAAATTTACCCACCAACCACTAATACCAAAGATGAAGAAACTCAACATTTTTACCAACATCTGCAGGCTGAAATTGATCAAACATAATATCAAGATGGTGGTTGAAACGCAGAAGTTGGAAGCAAGGCAGAGCCCAACTATGGAAGACATAGACAATCAACTGCTCATATCCAAGTTCAAGTAGAAGCTGAAAAAAATTAGAACAAGTCTACGAGAGCCAAAGTAAGACCTTTAGCATATCCCACTTGATTTTAGAAACCATGCCAAGAATATATTTGACAACCTGACCACTAATGACCAAAAAGCAGGCATGTTGTGGAATGATATCAAAGAAATCATACATGAAGAAAACAAAAAGGTCTTTAAAAAGACAGGAAAGAAGAAACTTAAATGGATGTTAGAAGAGACTCTTAAACTTGATCCTAAACAGTAGCCAAAGAGATTGGAAGAAATGATGAAGTAAAAGAGCTAAAGAAGATTGCAAAGGGTGGCTTGAGAAGACAAAGTAGTTTTATAATGCAATGTGTAAAGATAGTGTTAGAAAGTCAAAAGTCAAAACACACTCAGCATTTTTCAAGCTTAAAGAACTTAAGAAAAAAATTCAAACCTCAAATTGCAGTATTGAAAGATTCTATGGGCAAAACACTGATTGATGCAAGAAGCATCAACAGAATATGGAAGGAATACAGAGTCACTGTACCAAAAAGAACTGGTCAATATCCAGCCATAACAGGAGGTACTATAGGATCAAGAAACCATGGTATTGAAGGAAGAAGTTCAGACGATACTGAAGTCATTGATGAAAAATGAGGCTCCAGAAATTGATGGAATGCCAATTGAAATGCTTCAACAAATGGATGCAAAGTTTAAAGAACTCATTCATCTATGCCAACAGACTGGAAGATAGACACACCTAGTCAACTGACACAAAAAGATCATTATAAAGGGTGGTAGTCAGGCACACCTTCTCTGCTTGCTTCTCTCTCCTTTTCTCTCTTGTAAAATAAAAGGTGATGCAGGCTGTACATTACCCTTACACTGGAGCAAGGCTATGACCTGAATATGGGTGTTGCCAAACCAAAAAACCTAAACCATTGCCACTGAGTCAATTCCAACTCATAGTGACCCTAGGCAGTGTTTCCATAGCTGTAAATCTTTATCGGAGCAGACAGCCTCATTTTTATCCTGCAGAGCAGCTAGTGGATTTGAATTGCTGATCTTACAGCTAGCAGTTCAGTGCTTATCCTATAGTGCCAACCCTAATCCCATTACAATAGACTGGCTGATCATATCAGATCACATTAGGTGGGATGATTACACAATTACCAAACCAGTAAGAATCATGTCCCAGCCAAACTGATACACATTTTAGGGGGACACACACAATTCAATCCATGACAGCATCTAACAAAACAGACAAAAGAAAAAAAAACAAACCGAAAAATAGGCTACTGTCACCTTTATAAATTCAACTACAATGACATAATCCTATAAAACTTAAATATAACTAATACCTACTAGGTAGCGTAGTGGTTACAACTCAGGCTGCGAACCTCAAGGTCAGCAGTTCGAAACTACCAGCTGCTCTGTGGGAAAAAGATGAGGCGTTCTGCTCCCATAAAGAGTAACAGCCTTGGAAACCCTGTGCAGGGTCGCTATGAGTCAGAACCGACTCCATAGCACATAACAACAACAACAATCATCTTCTATGGATTACACAGTTTGAAAAATTGTAGAAGAGTAAAACATAATTTTAACCCGTAAGAATCTTATATGCTAGTAGAAAAATCTGCATATAAACTAAAGCAAAGTGAAGGACAATAAGTATTATAAGGAAGACATGATTAAATTTAAACAAAGTGCTCACCACTACTTTACTATAAACAGAATCTTTCAAAACCTCAAAAACAGCATAGTATTGCAGTTATTATTATACCTCAAAAAAGATTCAGAGCTGAAACTGGGCAGTGTAAGATGGAGCCACTGTGTAAGATGCTTTTACCATATCACATACAAGTTAAACTTTAAATCACACTCAATGTTTCTGTGTGTGTTTTTTATGAAGTCTAACCTGTGACCATGACAGTGCGAATGTTGGCTTTATGCAAATCTTCAAGTACTGCAGGGGTTTCTTGCTTTAATTTGTTCTGCATTATTATTAATCCCATAAAACTCATGTTGTTTTCAATGGTATCTCTGTAGAAAAAAATTAAACATACAGTTTACTCAGCAAAGTGAGTTACATTCATAAAATAATGTAAAATATTTTTAAATTGCTTAACCATATTTTTGCATATTTGGAAATTTAATCTCAAAAACTTTAAATCTGAACAGTAAAAAATTTCCAAAAAATACTTTTGAAATAAATATTGAAGCATGGATATATAAAAATCCTCTAGAAATTTTATATGTTAGATACTTCTAATTTTAACAAATATTCATCTTGTTGTATATCTAAAATGTCAATCTTCAATAAATTTATTCTTGACTTTATAGTCAACAGAAAAGGGAAAACATGTATCACAAGCATATTCAATACAGTAGTTCATTAATACTATTATTTGATCAATTCTAGAAAACTGTGTGATTATAGAAATGGGAAAAAAAGAAGTATTAGCAGGACAACACTGGAATCTACTCAGGACTCGGAGATGGATCTTTTAGATTATTTACTAATATTCAGTAGGTATAAAGATGGTATGCCTTCAAACAGCTGAGTATCTACTATTCACCAAATATTAACATTGCTCTTGGAGAGTTCTGAGCAGCACAGTTTGAGATAGTGTGAAGCAGATGTCTTGGCGCCTAGATTCAGGCAGGTTTTGCTCAATATCTATGAATCTAACAGAGCTACCAGGCAAGAATTAGTCTAGTAGGAATCTTTATAATCTGCAACACTGTCCTAACTGCCCTCTGATTCTGATAGACACTGAAACTAGCAACCTGAAAGGCCTCCACGAACTACTTCCAGATTGGGCATCCTGAACATGGACAACACCTAGAGCTATAGAACTCCATACCTAGGGCTGACAACTCAGCTGTTACAACCCTCCTCTATCCATCTCATGAGTTCCTGTATTGGCAGGGGCCCTCCAGAAGTTTTTTTGTTTCTGGGTCCAACAACTACACTGGTTCCTTATATTTTTCCTTTTATTCTTCTTGTTTATTCTTTCTTCTCCCTTTTTTTAATGTCCCTAGATTTTTATTATTTCTATCTCCAACCCTCTTCTTCCTTCACTTTTTCTCTGTTGTTACACTGTTTTTGCAGCTTCTTCTTTATTTTGTTTTGTTTTCCTCTTGCTTCACCCAATGGGATATAGTAACCATGACCATACAGCTAAACCACAACCATACCCTCTGCAGCTCAACTCATTAGACAAGAGCCAAAACTGGGTCCAATACCACCTGATCAACAACACACATCAGCCTACACCAAACCCACCATAAACTAAGTGGTGAAAATGGCAAATGGTGCATGTTTTAACTATCTAATCACACATACCAGGAGACAGGTGGTGAAACTCTAAGAACACACCAACACACAATCATAAATTAAATACAACACCACCACTATGTTATGGTAACAACTGAGGAGAGAGTGGCTCAAATGACCATAATGCAAAAGCAAAATGTTTTTCTGAGGAAGAAAAGGTAATGAGACTACCTGAGAAAGAATTGAAAAGAATGATACTTAGGTACCTTCAGTGGATTTACAGAAACATTGAAGAAAGCAAAGAAAAAACTTGAAAGAATTTAGAAAAACACTACAAGAACATATCAAACAAATACACATTTTGAAACAATACAAAACCTGCAAATCAGAAATCCAAAAGATCAATACTAAGATCTCAGAAATAAGCAATACATTGAAAAAGCAAAGGGTAGTCTGGATTCAATGGAAATCCAAAATAGTGACCTTGAAGATAAATCTCTCAATACTAGCAAACTAAAGAACCATCAGAAGAAGGGAAATACCCAAGTAAGTCTGAGATTTATGTGGGATGCTATGAAGAAGCATAACTTAGAGGTGATTAAAATTCCATAATAGGAAGAGACAAAAAGCACAGAAAAATTTATGTTAGACTTGCTGAAATTAAATTTCCCTAACTCTGGTAGTGAAGAAGCTCTGGCAGCATAGTGGTTAAATGTCTGGCTGCTAACCTCAAGTTCAGCAGTTTTAAACTACCAGTGATTCAGCAGGCGAAAGAAGAGGCTTTCTGCTTCCGTAAAGATTTACCGGCTCAGAAGCCCTATGGGTCATTATGGGTCAGAACCGACTCCACGGCACACCAACAACAACAACTCTGGTAGTGTAGTGGTTACGAGTTGCACTACTAACCTGAAGGTCAACAGTTCAAAACTACCAGCTGTTCTGTGGGAAAAAGATGAGGTTTTCTGCTCCTTGTAAAGATTTACAGCCTTGGAAACTCTATACATGGCACACAGCCACCACCAACATCATCATGAAAGATGAGAAAATAACCATTGAGAAGCTGAACCAACCACAAACAGGATAAATCCCAAAAGAAAACCACCAAGATATATCAAAATCACACTTCCCAAAACCAGAGACATGGAAAGAATGCTGAGAGCAGTTCGGGAAAAACAAAAAGTTACCTACTAAGGAGAACTAATAAGACTAAGCTCTGATTTCTCAGCAGAAACCATACAGGCAAGAAGGCAATGGGATGACACATACAAAACTCTGAAAGAAAAATACTGCCACCCAAGAATCATATGCCCAGCAAAGCTACCCCTTCAAATACAATAGGAAAATAGTATATTTTCAGGTAAACAGAAATTAAAGCAATTTTTAATAACCAAACCAACGTTACAAAAAATACTAACATATGCTCTTTGGACTGAGGACCAACAATAGCAAACAACAATTTGAGAATAATATACATGATAATACCACCCAGAACACAATCCAGATACAGAAGTATCTGAAGTAAAACACACCTACAACACTGGAAATAGGGAACCAGATATATCAATGTATGATAAAGTCAACTACAAAGTAAAAAGAGGGAATAGCGAACCAGATATATCAATGTATGATAAAGTCAACTACAAAGTAAAAAGAGGGAACAGCGAACCAGATATATCAATGTATGATAAAGTCAACTACAAAGTAAAAAGAGGGAACAGCGTAGATATAGAACTTCTGAATGCCAAGAAGTCAAATGTATTTCACCTCTCAACAGGGGGAGAAAAATTAATAAATTACAAGGCAACATCAAGGAAAATTGATACACCTTTCTATCAAAATTTTACAGAAGGAAAATTAGAAAGATTTCGTAACATTAAAACAACAATGAAAAAAAGTGAAGTAAAAATCCACAAACAAAATGAATTCAGCATACTAATTTATGTGGAACAAAGGAAACTGCGACAACAAAAAGAGACACAGCAAAATGACAGCAATCAATTCATTGGTTAATTCAATAATTAAGAGTGAATGTAAATGGATTAAATGCACAAAGAATGGCAGAAATGATATAAACTTTGGCATATACACATGATGGAATACTATGCAACAGTGAAGAATGACAAATCTGTAAAATACTTCATATCATGCATGAACTTGGAGAACATTATGCTGAGTGATATTAGTCAATCACAAATGACAAATATGAAAGCACTATTGTAAAAAGACGGAATTCTGGTGTGGTGCTGTGGGTTAATGCACCGGATTGTAAAGTTGGTTTGAACCCCAAGGTTGGTGGTTCAAGCTCACTAGTCACTCCTCAGAAACCCTGTACAGGGTGGCTATGGGTTCGGAACTGACTTGACAGCATTTAACAACAATAATGATTGTAAAAAGAACAGGTTTTCTTGCTAAAAGAAATATTCTATGGTGGTTAACAGGGTTGGGAAGGAAGGGAAAATTATTCACTGGGTAGAGGGTTGTTGTTAAGTACTGTAGAGTCAGTTTCGACTCATAGTGACCCTGCACAGGGTTTCTGACTCTGTAAATCTTTATGGGAGCAGAAAGCCTCATCTTTCTCCCATGGAACGGCTGGGAGTTAGAGGGTAGACACACGTGAATTTGGGTGTTGGGGAGGGCAATCCACAAGAGGAAGGTTGGGACAGGCAAGATGAATATGATAGTGAAAGACACGGGGAGGAATACAAGAGTTAAGGTGAAGAGAGGTTAAGTATTGTTACTGAGGACACGTGGTAGGAATTGCAATCATTGTAACGATGCAAAGTGTATGATTTGTTGAATATAAGCCTTCACTCAATTTGCAATAAAAGTGTAAAAAAAAAAAAGAACAGAGCCTTGCAACTTGAAAATGCATTACAAGGCTCAAAGTTCTGAAATTGCTGGCCGAAATTCACCCTGCTGCTGTTTTCCTATGAGGCTCTAGTTTCTGGCTGTAGTTATTTCCTAACTCTGCTGAATGACAGAGGACATGGAAATCCTGTCCTCCAGCTAATTAGCAGTGTAATATTAACTCAAGTATCAGTGTTCATGCTGTAAGAGAACACCAACATCTGATTTCTACAAGGCAGAATGAAAACAGAGAATGCCTCAGGAGAAGGAAAAATGAATGAGGAAGAAGAAGAGTAGAGAGGGAGGCAAGGAGAGGGTTAAGTTGATGGGGAGGGGAAGGGAAATCAGAACAGAAAAGCTATTCCTCGGGCATGGGAGGATATCAGAAAAGGACAGTCTCAAGAACTACAGGAAATTCAAGATCATGGTGCTATAGGCTAAGGACTGGACTGCTTACCACAAGGTTGGCAGTTCAAACCCATCAACCACTCCTCATAAACCCTATACAGGTTTGCTATGAGTCAGAACTGACTAAATGGCACTAACAACAAGAATGAGTAAGGAAGGAAATGGCAAAGGGCTGAGCTGAAAAGAGAGAACGGCCCGTTTGTCCTTCATAAGAATTAACTTGCAATATCACAGGATAGGAGCCCTGGTGTGGTGTCGTAAGTATAAGCACTCGACTGAAAACTCCGTTTGAACCACAAGATTGGTGGTCCAAATGCACCAACCACTCATAAACCTTATAACTGGGTCACTGTGAGTCAGAACAGACTCAACAGCAGTTAACAACAATTACAGGATAAGCATTGAACTGTGCCACTCTGTGGGAGAAAGATGAGGCTTTTTGCTCCTGCAAACATTTAAAGCCTCAGAAACCCTACACAAGGTGGCTATGAGTCACAACAGACTCAACTGCACGTAATAACAATCACAATTACAGATCTATGGTTCCCAATCAAGCTTGTGTATCAGATCACTTGGGTGTTGTAGTTAAGTGCTACCAAGTTGGTTCTAACTCATAACAATCCTGTATACGGTTTCCAAGGAGCAGCTGGTGGGACCGAACTGCCAACACCCTGTGGTTCACCGTCCGGCGCTGATCCTACAGCGCCACACCAGAAGTCCATCACTTGGGTAGTGCTTTTTTTTTTAAAAAAAAAAGTCAATTCTTGTTATTTAAGGAAGTTATGTTCCATAAGCGAGATAAAGACGAGGCTTTCTGCTCCCGTAAAGATTTACAGCCTCGGAAACCCTGTACAGGGTCGCTATGAGTCGGAATCAACTCCACGACACATAACCAACCAACCAATCTTCCATATATTCTCCAGAAATACTGAATTGTGACTACTGAACCACTGCTCGGAAGGGAAACGTAGAACAACACAAGTTTGCTCTGTGTGTTTCTGTTTACAGTCAGTCACTTTATGCTTGTGGCTCATTTTAAACAGTAAAACTCACCAACACAGCATAAAAAAAGAGAAAGGCATGGCACTAAACAGACCACAAAAAAGACCGTTGTTTATAGTAAAAGAGCTGATCTCAGGTGGGAATGGTAGGTGACTCAAGTCTTCCACCACTCTGTACAAGTCTGCAAATGGCCACAAAAGTGCCACAGGTTTCAATTTTGAAGTTATAAATATTAGTGAGGAGGCAGATTCACAAATATGGAACCTGTGAATAATAAGAATGGACTGTATTATGTTTAGACCATATGCCCAAAGTGTATTAGCAACTTTAAATTTTGGTATTAATTATCCAATTTTTAAGCTCTATGAATTTATAATACTGAAAATTTGCAGTATGTGTTAAAACAGTCCCAAAATTTGCTAATACAGGTATAATTGATCTTTTTAATGCTGTTAACTTAGACAGCATCCTGATGTGGCACTGCTGTAGGGTGAACACTGAACTGAAAGGTCCTTTGAACCACAAGGTCAGTAATTCATACTCACCAGCTGCACCTCTGAAATCCCATAGAGGGTCAATATGAGTCGGAATTGCCAACTTGACAGCGCTTAACTACTTTTCAAGAAAAGTGATATGTCATGGTCATTTGATTTTGTAGTTCCTGATAACTGAAGTATTACATTTTTAGGTGTGGCGCTGTGGGTTAATGCGTCAGATTGCAAAGTCATTTGAACTGCAAGGTTGGTGGTTCAAGCTCACCAGTTGCTCCTTGGAAACCCTATACAGGGTCGCTATGGGTCGGAATTTACTCGACGGCACTTCACAACAACAATTGGCTATTTATGCCTTCTTTTGTTTTTCAATTAGGTGTATCTGTTGTTGTTATGTCCATTACCCCAAGGTCTCCAGTAGGTGTTTGGGAACCACTTACATGAATCTTGGGTGTTGTTCTTGTTAAATGCTGTTGAGTCGGTTCTGCCTCATAGCAACCCTGCATAGGGATTCTAAGGCGCGAATGGTGGGTTTGAACCACTGACCTTTCAGTTAGCAGTCCAGTGCTTGTCCTACAACACCACACTAGAACTCTAATATTAAATATGAAAGCTAAAATGCTCTCTAGTGGCACTGTGAAATCCAAATTTAAAAAGAGACAAAACTGGAGAATAGTTAAATAGAGACCATGGCAGTGGGACTAAAACAGAAATCTCAGCTATTTAATAAGCTGAATTAGCAGAACATCAATAAATACTTCTGGTTACTTACAAAAATGCTAGGAACACCATAAAATATTCCTAAACATAAATGTTTTCCTCAAAGATCTATCAGTTGCAGTAAAGGTGATACTCTTTGAATTTAAATCCATATGTATACCTGGAAGGAAATGTGGCATTTGTAATGCCATTTGACTTGGGAGGTATGTAAAAAAGTAGAATTGGAGAGAGTGTGGTGGCAAATGTAACTCATATTAAATCAATACTTAATGCCAACCACTGGGTAAAATGCAAGTAGACAGTCTGAGAAAAATAAACATCTGTAGAATTATGAATACAGTTCCTAGAACATGCCTGGCACATAGTAAGCACTTGATAAGTATTTAACAAATGAAATGAAACGAACTGCAAAAAGTTAACTGGAAAAACATACAATGTTACAATGATATAAGCAAATCTGTTGTTTGTTGTTAAGTCTGTGGAATGGTTGAGTGGGTTCCAACTCACAGCAACCCTGCATAAGGCTTCTGAGAAGCGGCTGGTTGAGTATGAAATGCCAACCTAGCACTTCAAACCAACCTTGCAGTCCAGTACTTATGCTACAGCGCCATACCAGGGTTCCCAAAGCAAACATAAGCAGTCAATAAAGAATAAAAGGGAAACAGACCATGTAAAAATGTACTTAAATCTAAATTACTGAAAACATGAGTTGCATTCTTTATACTTGCATATAACTAATATGTTGTTGTTGTTAAGTGTCATCAAGTTGGTTCCAACCCTGTATAGGGTTTCCAAAGAGTGGCTAGTGAGCCTGAATCACCAACTTTGTGGTTCAAACAACTTTGCAGTCCAGTGCATTAGCTCACAGCCCTACACCAGGACTCCACATCCAATATAGATCTACTAAATATCCAACTACATACAAATCACTGTGCTTGCATAAATGATAAATTATTGGACAAATCACAGAAAAACTATTTATCAGCATTTACCTGTTAACATTCTGTACTTTATGCCAGGTTAGTTTTGACTCCAACTTTCTGTGTGCAAGAGCAATCACACGGAAGCCCTGTTTAGTGTAATCTTCTAAAACTTTTTCAAAATCAGCAGGAACTTATTGAAAGAAAGAAAACATTTCACTGTTAGAATTGCCTTTAAAAAAAAAGTATGCAAATAGCAGCATTTTATTCAAAGTCTTGTTATTTCCTGACCTGTTTCAGGTTTACAGAGACTGGCGATAACCTCGGGTGCTCCCTTCATGTAAGCATCCATCTTCTTATCCCCCAGCACCCTGGCAACTACACTCATACGTTGCAAAGCAGAAGAAAACGGGAACTGGCGGACAATTCCTATCTCATAAATAGCCTAAATAATTTCAAAAGATGCATAAAATGTTTATTATTCCTTGAGAATAAAAACAAATATACTTAAGGAAGAAGCAAACATTCTTCACTTACTGGAAGTTCAAACAGCTCCTAAAAATAAAACAAAAAAGAAATAGCACAGATTAAGACTTGGTTCACTCAATATAAATACTCAAGCTAAAGGAAAACTTACTAAGCATTCACAAAAACATTATTTGGAGAGCAGCAAGGAACTTAGATTATTTAAAAGACAGGATTCAAGATTACTTCTCTACCACCTCCCTTTTTAAAAATATTTTCTAATTATCTGGTATTCTGAAAATATTCACACATTGAGTACTAAAATAAAGTAAAAGGAACATACTATTGAAGAATTAACCTAAAAATAAATCCTTTCACAAATTCTTTCTATTAAGTTATAGGTATATCGATGTAATTTAAAACAAGTTGTTGTTAAGTGCTATTGAGTCGGTTCCAACTCATAGCTACTTACTATACAGGGTTTCCAAGGAGCAGCTGATGGGTTTGAACTACCTATCTTGAGATTCGCAGTCCTACAGCCCCACACTGGCACTAAGATGCTCAGTAAATAGGAAGGAAAACCAATGAAACTGAGAAGAAAAATCTCAGTGTTTTACAAAGCATGCCTGCAACACACTAGAAGTGTAGTTTCCAATAAATGCAGTTAAAATACTTTTATCTGTAAAAAATTAAATAAAGGACATTAAAATGTACTGTTCTGGCAATATTACAAAATGAAACTTATGAAGTGAGGATCCATAGCATTATCCAGCTTAAACTGTGGTTGCATACCATTTCTTGGTCTGCTGCAGGTGTAGATTCAGAGAGCAGTTGTTTTAGAGGACGAACCACAGTGGGCATAATTCGATTATGAAGTGCTGTTTCCTCTTCCGTGGCTTCTTCCAGAATCTGAGGGAGGGAAATTCAACACATTACTTCATAAAATTTCATCCACTGGTCCCATTTTCAAATCAACATTATGGCCATTTTTTAGTAAAAAAAAAAAATTCAGGGTCCGACAAGCACTAGATCACTAATATCTTTCTGTTCCCATAAAGATTTCAGCCTTGGAAACCCTAAACAGGGTTGCTGAATAGGAGCTGACTCCATAGCACACAACCACCACCACATCACTAACGGGAGTCCAGGTGTGGCACTGTTTTGAATAAAGCACTGTTTGGTCAGAAAAACCACTTGAGTTGAGAATAAACTGAAACATGAAAAATGTGAATTTAGTGAGTCAGTTTAACACTTCTCTTAGTTAAGATACTACTACCTGAACCTTTGAAATATACTTTTAAAGACTTTTTGGTGAAATAAATTGAAACAAAAACCTATATTACACACGTACACAAAAGAATCCCATTTATAGTTACAGTTTGATACTATAATTAAAGGAATTTATTAATCAGTGGTAAAATGATAGGAGAACTGCAACCCAATCATCAATCTTATGTGATTCTAAGAGACATTTTCGCACATTTTAACATCTCTGAAACTGGGATGGTTCTTGTATTCTATGGTATTACAATATGTATCATTTGTGTCTGAGTATGTGGTAACATTCCACCAACATGTGCTGGTAAAATCAAGCATCAAAGCATCTTCAGAGTAAACAAAATACATTATTACATAAACTTATTTTTGTTTTGTGTTAAGTGCCGTTGAGTCAGTTTTTACTCATAGCGACCCTGTAGAGGGTTTGCAAGTAGTGCCTGGTGAACCTGAACCATCAACCTTGTAGTTCAAGCCGACCTTGCAGTCCAGTACATTAACCTGCAGTGGGTTTCACAAATACAGAACACTAAATCTAAGAAAAATCTATTCAGTGGGAGAGAAGTTTTAGATATTAGCAAAGATGAGTCCGTCCTATTTTCCTTTTCTCTCTGTAAATGAAATAGGTCCTCCTCCTTTGAGGAAATTAGGTTTCACAACTATTAAAGGCTGTCAGATCAAGATAGTAGCTAGAGCACTTACCCACTCACCCATCAACCTCCCTTTCAAAATATTAACAACAACAAAAATATGTAAAAGTAAACAGAAAGGAGGGAGATTTCAAATGCGAAGGAAACAGTAGTTCAGAATCAGCATGAAAGGATGTATACGAGAAGTAGAAATATTTCTTAATAGCTATAATAGCTGACCAAAGCAAAATAATTAAGAAATAAAGACATAAAAGTCCTTTTGTAGAGATAGAAACTACTTATTTGAGAGCAGTAAGAGCAACTAATATAAGGCCATCAATCCAGAGGACAGTCCAGTTTCTGTGAGCACAGTAGGACTGGGAGAGGAAAATCATTTAAAGACTAATTCCACCACTTCTCATTTGAAACAAACAGGCCTCGTGTGAGACCCCAATCTCAGCACACACTACATTCCACCATTCAGCCTTCCAAGTCCGGGGAAACCTCACTGCAGTTATACTGAATAATCAAATCAGATCTCATTCTTAAATATTGAGATGTATGGAGAAAACCAAGTGTGAACAAATTAAAACAAAATGATCCCAGAGAAAATTCCAAAGTAAGAAAGGAACTGAAAATAAAGCAAAACACAGTACGTGTGTTATGTTTATGTGCGTGTAAGGACTCAGGAGGAAAATGCTCTTTGCAAATTACCAATAAACTATGCCACTGGACATCATCTCAACGACTTCTGGCCTGCTTTCACAGTACTGACACCAGGTTTATCTTATAAAACTAAAGCAGGGATCTGACTAGATCATGGTCTTTTTAAAGGTGTTGAGTGAATTTAACTAAAAAGACACTTTTTATACAACTATAAGTGTTTATCTAGTGATGTGATATTCTTAGAAGTAATATGAAGGGATTATAAAAAACACAACTTAAAGAAAATGGGATTTCCCCACTAATTTTTCAATTCCCCTTGTGTAATTAGTTTCTCTCAGGGTAAAAGAGTCATCCTGAGGGGTTTCAGACCCTGAGACAAAGGACCATCCTGTTATTTATAAAGACACTCTGAGTCAGTGCTAACTCAACAGCAACTAACACCAAAAACATGGTACAAGATAGAATGCTGTTAGAAAAGCAAGGATCCTTTCACAGGTGAATTATTGAAATTTTACTATATTTTCCTAAAGGCTGTAGGAGTCAGGGGTGAAAGTGTGTGGGTGTTTACATATATCCTACTTGTTCCATGAAGTTTAGGTATGGCTCTGCAGAGTAAGCACCTGACTGCTCCCCATGAGGTTGGTGGTTCAAACTCACCGGCTATTCCACAGAAACCCTATAGAGGGTTGCTATGAGTTGGAATCGACTCCATGGCACATAACAATAACTTGATCCATATTGCAAAAATATGCTTTTATTTTAAATTACTGAACTTACCCATCCAATGGCTTCAAACATTTTCAGATCAAGTGGATCACCAGAAAGCACTCCTTCAATTTTTGTAAGTGAATGACAAGTAGCCATACAAGCAACAAACTGGGATTTTACCAACATCTCATTGCAAATGTTTTCTTCTGGCAAAAGAAAACTAAATAGAAAATGTACTGAATTAAATTCATTGCATGACACAAATTCCAAGAGTAAAGCTAATATTCTAACAAGGCTTTTCAGGTTTTATAATTCTAAAAATGGAAACGTAATGTCTGCATTTTTGCCCATATTAATTTTTACTATAACTTTTAGTATCCTAAAACATTTCTTTCCAAGAAAGTTTCATATACCTAAAATATATTATCTTGGATTCTGAATAACTAGGCCAGATGTAATACACATCCTTATGTATAGGAAATTCTACATAATGATAATAAAAACTCCCACTTCTGTCCATATGGTGGATTAGAATGCCTCAGAACTCTTGTACTACAACAAAACTGAAGCGTAACAATTTTTTTCTGAACTTAAAAGTTTCACTGTAATTTAACCGCCTGTGGAAACTGATATAATAATAGACAGTGCAAATCTATACATGTCCAACACAAAGGATTCGAGAGCAAACAACTGTCTGAAATTTCTATAACCTTGCTCTGTAGATGGTGTAGAGTAAGGCCTCAAACCATTTCAAAACTGTTCTTGCAAGCACTGTAGGAATGCACAGAGTCACTCCAGACCCAAGCATGCTGGAAGCTTGCAACTACATAACAATCTTTTAAATGCAAAGTTGCGCTTATAAAAAAGAAGGCTTTAAAGTGCCAGAAATTCAGGAAAAGGGTGTGGACGTGGGCTGATGCCGTGACTCCCTGGGGGAGAAAGAAGAAAGGGGAAGGTCTGGGCATCTCAGTACCCTAAATACGGGATCTAACAGCCACACAGCAAAAAAAGACAAAGTCCTGGTCCCATACAAAGTGGAAACTTGGAACTGAGATTCCTTCTTACTCAAAAAGGCCAGTGCTCTTAAAGAGCTACATTCTTGGGGAAAGGGTAGACTAGAAAAATATTAGGCTACAGATCCATAGTTTTAACTAAGAATAAACTTGTTTCTCCTCCTCCCTGCCATAAAGGTCATGAATTAAGCTAAAACCTACATAATATTTACTATGCACTAAATACCATTCTGGAGTCCTGGTGTGGTGCTGTAGGTCAATGCGCCAGACTGCAATGCGCCAGTCTGAACTGCAAGGTTGGCGGTTCAAGCTCACCAGCTGCTCCTCGGAAACCCTATACAGGGTCGCTATGGGTCAGAACCAACTCGGAGGCACTTAACAACAACAACAGACATCATTCTAGCAGCTATACATATAGTGATTTCATCTTCACACTATGGGAAGTATTCTATTATCCCCATCTTATCAAGAAAAAATTTGAAGACTAGTGGGTAAGTAGCTTGCTCAAGCATGTACAGCCCACGAGTGGCAATATAAGGATTCAAACAAGGTCTGGTTTTAGGGTCTGACCTCTGAGTGCACTATATAAGAATGAGTTTGGGCTTGATAACTCCAAGTTATAGAAGTAAAATTAAAGTTTGTGCTGTGACCCAGTGTTTCCATTTTAGAAATTTACTGAAATGTAATCACATGCTCACAGGAATTTTAACTGCAGCGCTCTTTATATAAATAGAAGGGAGGAAAGGAGAAAAAACTAAACTGTGTCTCAATAAAGGAATATTATTATGGTTTCATTATGAAGGAACACTACACAGCAGTTAAAATTAGCATATTAGATTATACAAAACAACATAAATATTTAAAACAATATTGAGAGGAAAGAAAATTAGCAAGATAATGCACATTATATAACTCATGCAATTCTGTAAAACATAAAACTGTCTTGCTTATGAACAAATACTTCATGAAACAAATACGTCGTGAAAATGCAAAAGAATGCAAAATTTAATAATTTAAACACCTTCAGATTAGTTGTTGGCATTGGAAAAGGGATAGATGTAACATCTGAAATCATTTAAAAGAAGTGCCCTTGTTGTAAATATGGTAAAATATTGTTGTAAATATGGTAAAATATTATTTATTTAATCTTGGTGATGAGTACACATCTATCTAATATACTAATGTCTATGTGCCCAAATGTTCATACATTAGATATTTATTAAAAATTTAATAAAGCATCAAGTCTAGCTAGTCATTACCGTGTATTTTCCACTCGTTGAATCCCCCAAAGATCTAAACCATCTTCAGTAAGAGTTCCAGTCTAAAAAATATAACACACACAAAAAAGTTTATGTAATGCCTCCAAAAAAACAAGATATCCAATGCCGTTGTTGTTAAGTGCTGTCGAGTCAGTTCTGACCCACAGCGACCCTGCACAGGGTTTCCAAGGAGCAGCTGGTGAGCTTGAACCACAGACTTTGCAGTTCAAATGACTTTGCAGTCTGACACATTAGCCCAGAGCACCACACCAGGACGCCAAGATATCCAATAGGATATTATTTATCTTTTAAAAGAAATAAACAAGCAAGACGATTTCTATGTACTGATAGAGAAAGACTTATAGGATAGAGTGTTAAGGATGGAAAAGAAGTCAAGTGGGGGAAGGATGGCATAAATCTAAGTGTGGGTGCATATATTATACACCTAAAACTATGGAAAGCTGTACCAATCAAACTCTCCTTCAGTAAAACATGCCTATTAAGGAGGGATTAGGAAGGGATGGGAAGAGAAACAAAAGTTAGCCAAATACAGGGTGTAAGTCTATAGTTTCTTCAGTGAAATAACCCAGGGGTGAGAAAAGGCAATGGTTACAGCGTAGTGGTTACGAATTGGGCTGCGAACCATAAGGTCAGCAGTTCGAAACTACCAGCTGCTCCGCGGGAGAAAGATGAGGCTTTCTACTCCCGTAAGGATTTACACCCTCGGAAACCCTGTACAGGGTCGCTATGGGTCGGAACCGACTCGATGGCACTTAACAACAACAACAACAACAGACAAAGTGCAATCTATGCAATCCTTATTTGGATTCTAATCAAAAATACAAAAAGAAAAAATCGATCCACTTTTGGGGTAGGTAGAGAAGTCAGAATATGAGCTGAATATTATATAAATGTTAATTTTGTAAATTGTAATAACAGTAGTACTGTGGTTATGGAGTCCTGGTGTGGCACTGTAGGATAAGCACTAGACCACGAGGTCAGTTTGAATCACAAATTCGGTGATTCAAACTCACCAGCTGCTCCCCGGAAATACAACGACTTGACATCATTTAACAATATCTTCTAGAGATACGTCCAAACCTAAACAAAATCAATTGCCAATGAGTTCATTCTTACTCACTGTTAACTGCCATTAAGTCAGTTCTGCCTCATAGCGACCCCGTATAGGGTTTCTAAGAAGTGGTTGGTGGGTGTGAACCACTGATCCTGTGGTTATAGCAGTCCAGTGCTTATCCTACAACACCAGAGAAACATCTAAAACCAAACCAAATCTGTTGCTAGACTTGATTCTGACTCATTGTGACCCTATACAGGGTTTCCAAGATTGTAAATCTTTTACAACATTCTTCTTCCTCCCCTGAAGCAAGATGCATATTTGGGTGATGCCGTGTATGTCAGAGCAGAACTGTGCTACATAGAGTTTCAATTACTGATTTTTATGAAAGTACATCATCAGCTTTTTCTTTTGAGGAACCTCTAGGTGGACCTGAAACTCTGACCTGCATTAACCATTTTCTTCACCCAGGGATTCCAATGTGTAAACTGCTCAGGCTTTACTATCATATGTGAATCTGTTTTCTGAGTGTGTTTTTTAATAACCAAGTTTCCCCCAATAGATACAAGAGTAAAGCTTCTGAATAAAAGTGAAATATATGAGGACTTGACTTTTTGTACTGAAGATGTATAAGAATCTAATTTTTATCACATCAGTGATCCAGAAGAGTCTGGTGGAAGATTATTTTCTTTCTTGTTTTTGGTAAAGGGTTACTTTACACATAAAAGTTTTAGGAAAACCAATTTCAGCTGACAAAAGAAGAAACTTTTATAAAATATAAGGTATTTTCACACAGATAAATAATTTGTCCATTCTTACAAAATCAGGGAGCTTCATATACTCTTAAAACATAAACTCAACAGAATCAGATAGTGAATACTAAACATACAAACAGTCTTTAAAAAGTTCATGGAATGTGTCTGGTTAAAAGAGATGGGCATAAGACTCTTATGATTCAATAGTGAGCAATAGTTATCATGACTAATTGCGACTATCACAATTGTAAAGGTGTAAGTTTTGTATCAAAAACTGGGGAATAGTTAAATCTTACAGTCCAGAAGCAAAGGATCCTAGGACCATCAAGGGAGAAGAGCACAAGCGGAATGCAAGACCTTATCCAGAGAAGCAGCAACACCAGAGATGAAGGCAGAGATGAGGATAAGGAGAGAGAGAACAAGTGAGGACTCTAGATTCATGGAAAGAGAGGGACTAAGTGCTGGCAGCCAGGAGGCAGATTTGCAAAATGTGCTCTTTGGTGGTATAAATTATTATATATGCCTGATTGTTTAATTTAAAAAAAAGAAAAAAGAGCTAAAGTGAATAGAAAGAAATGCTGTTATCTGATGGTACGTGGAGGGGATTATAATAATTGTAATGAAATAAGGTATATAATTTGTTGAATGTAAACCTGATGATCTGTCCTATATACTTTCACTCGATTCACAATAAAAATTAAAAAAAAAAAAAGTCCATAGAAAATTCCATTATCTTTGAACTCCATTTTTTCATGTACTTTTTGAAGCCCCCTTGTATACATTGGAAGCAATAAAATCTCAATGAATACATATGTATGGGGCCTATTTGGCTATGAAAGAATGGTATAAAAAACATGATAGATCATATAATTTTTATCTCTGCTTGCGTAGTGGTTACGAATCGGACTGCTAACCTCAGGGTCAGCAGTTTGAAACTATCAGTTGTTCCGCGGGAGACAGATGAGGCTTTCTGCTCCCATAAAGATTTACAGTCTCGGAAACCCTGTACAGGGTCACTAAGAGTCAGAACTGACTCCACGGCACATAACCACCACCATCACCAAAAGGCTTAATTCTAGATATGAATAACTAGTCCGTTTAGATCTGAACAAGTAAGCAATGTATTCAAAATTGAGAAAACGAAAAGAAATATACAAAAACAATACAAATCAAGTACATTGAGAAAGAGGAAATCGGAGAAACATTAAAGAATGTGTGCCAATCAGTTGGCAAAGAATAGGGAAAACATTAAATATTTAAAAGCTACAACGTAACCTTTGAGAGTGATATGAAATGGAACCAACCTTGTCAAAACAAATAAGATTTAGCTGTCCACAAATATTTATCCTTTGGGGACTGATACAGAAAATACCGATTTTTCTCAGTCTTCTTTGGGCATACACAATGCCAGCAGTCATTGCAGCAGGGAGTGCGGGGGGTACAGTAATTGTAATGATGTCAAGAGACTTGATAATTATCACCCCAACTTCTACCTATAATTAAAGCAAAAATAAATGTCAAACTTAATATTAAATATTACTTAATACGTATATTATATATACATCTAATAGTCATCTATCATTTTGCCCTTCAGAAATTCCACAAAGTAGAAAGCTCAATGAACTGTCAATTATGAAGTGACAAATATTTTTTAAAAACACTTCTCATTTTAATAGCCCTGCATACTTCACACTCAAGGAGCTCTGGTAGCGTAGTGGTTACGAATCGGGCTGTGAACCTTAAGGTCAGCGGTTCGAAACTACCAGCTGCTCCGCGGGAGAAAGATCAGGCTTTCTACTCCCGTAAAGATCTACACCCTCGGAAACTCTGTACAGGGTCGCTATGGGTCGAAACTGACTCGACGGCACTTAACAACAACAACTTCACACTCACACTTTAAGTCAATTTAATTACTTGTTGGATGCAAACTCAGACTCTATAGAGGATAGAAGTTAGATTGTTGCAAATAATTTTAATACTGTGTGTGTACTCTTATCTCAGAGGCTTTTAAAAAAAAGAGAAAGTACGGCTTTTGGTGGGCATGAGGTTTTTTTTCATTTTCTATTTTGTTTTTAAGTCACAGTGAGCAAGTAAAAACTCTAAATCAGAACTATTCAAACTTTCTGCAATGGATAGGTGGTGGTGGTTATGTGACGTGGAGTTGGTTCCAATTCATAGCAACCCTGTACAGGGTTTCCAAGGTTGTAAATCTTTATGGGAGCAGAAAGCCTCATCTTTCTCCTGTGGAACAGCTGGTAGTTTCAAACTGCTGACCCTGAGGTTAGCAGCCTGATTCGTAACCACTACACAATGACTAGAAGTGTTTTTTATATATACTAATATGACAGCTACCAGTCACATGTGTTTTTTGTAGTTAAATTAACTATTAAATTTAATTTAAAATATAGTTCCTTAGTCTTACTGCCATTGTTGTTAAGTAATACCAAGTCAGTTCCAAGTCATAGTGACCGTGTAGAGGGTTTTTGTGTAGTGGCTGGTAGGTTTGAGCGCCAACCTTGCGATTAGCAGTCCAGTGCTAAGCCTAGAGTGCCACACCAGGACTCAGACCAATGAGCTACACTTTTGACAGTCACATGTGCTATAACTTATTAGGGCTCAAACCCTCCTGGAGCTTCTATACTTACCTTATTTAAAATACTATTGATAATAGTGTAGATAAACCCAATGCCAGCCACTGCCACAAGACACAAGAGAAACAAATAGGCATCTCGGTAGAGTTTAAAATCAGTTGGTTTGGGATACAGTATGGAACGAACAAGCTGTCCTTTGGAAGTACTAAACCCTTTAAAAAAAAAAAAAAAAATGAAAATGAGGAAAATGACTATATTTTCTAAAGGAAATGAGAACTATCTCTCCAAACAGAATAACATTTCAAATATTCAGTAGGTACCAAATATGTGAAAACATGCAAGAAGAGATTAAATAAAAGAGGTCTACCTGTTCTAACTACTATGGCTTTGACTAGTTCTCCAGTGTAGAAACGAGTTTGAATAACAGTAGTCCCACAAAACAAAGTGTGTCGTTTATGAATTTCCGGACTATATAACTCATTTCCTTTCATGTCTACTGAAGGATTTGGCAAATTGGTTTTTGTCACTGGAACACTTTCACCTTAAAAAAATAAAAGTTTTCAATTCATAAATTAAAACATAGTAATCAAACACACACAAAAAATCTTCAACTGTTAAATATCATGAGTGTTGTCCTAAACAATACTTCCATATTTTAAAGTTTTATTTTATTTCAAATGTACCATACAGTATGTAACTATTAAGAGTTCTCATATGAAGGGCCTTTATAAAGTCTGTAGAAAATGGAACATTATAAAGTTTATGGATGATATAGCTTAATCAATTAATTTTTTCTACCAATTTTCTCACAGAAATGACAAACCTGATCTTCCACAATAATTTTGAAATTATTTGAATGGCTTTGCTTCAAATAATTTCAAATTATAAGACCAGAAATAATACAGTCCACAAAGACAATGTTCTATATTCTACTTTGGTGCATAGCGTCTGGGATCCTAAAAACTCACGAATGGCCATCTAAGGTGTAACTATAGGTCTCTCCATGTGCAGAAGAAAAGAGAATGAAGATAACTGAAGATGTTTGGAATCAATTAGTCCAGCAGACTAACTGAACCTGTGAACATCAGTCTCCACAACTATGAGGCCAGAACTAGATGGTGCTCAGCTACCACCACCAACTGCTCTGCGAGTGATCACATTAGAATGTCTGGGCAGAGTGGATGAAAATGTGGAACAACACTCAAAATTACTTAAAAAAAAAGAAAGACCAGACTAACTAGTCAGAAAGAGACTAGTGAAACCCAAGATTATGGACCTCAACCACCTTTCAGTTCTGGAAAGCAACTCACTCTCATGTCCCATTTTCAGTCAAGCAGTAAATGTATGCAGGGGGGACAATTGCCAGTCATTCAAAATCAACAGGGCAAAATTTACTTAAGGACAAAGTTTAGATGAGATAGAAGGAAGGCGG